ATTGTGGAAGTGAACATTAAGGAAAGACCGCACAAAATATGATTACAATGTAATGGCATGAGGTTGCTACTGACTTTTTAACAGATCAAATCTTATTACAGCACAAGAGCTGTCTTTCTGGGCAATTACCTTGGAAAAGTCTGTGATAATTCCATGTGTGTAGCAATTGCTCAAAACATCTTTATAACTCCTTACACCTTACACACCCACCAGAAAAGAGTTCATTACCTTATAACCGCACAAAATCAGTTTTGCCTATTGAACTGCTCTTCCTTCACCACCAAAAAACATGAAATCCATGCCCGGAACAGATATTTATTATGCATGAGGGAAGCATATGAATGGTGCACCGTTAGCTCTGGAGGCATTTGCATCCAGGGAAGTAAGCACATTTTGAAAAATGACTGGAAATATTTTTACAAAACCACCACTGGTTCAGTGGCATAAATTCTTTTTTTTTCAGGTATGCAATAAATATAAGTTTAATAGTATAAATCAACAGGGGAAAAGAAATATACAGCAGCCAATATTTGATTTTCATCCTTATCACTTTTTCTAGGGTCCCTCTAACTTGATGTAAACTTACAATTTTCAAGGAAATTCCTATTCCACTCCCATTGTATCATAAATAAATTGAATAGTTTTTCTTTTTGTATGAAAAAAAAAAATTTCCATTTGAATGGAAAAGACGCTCCATTTGTGATCAATGTCACACAATATCACATTCCCATCAGAAAACACAAACATCAACATCACAAAACTAAAAATACACAGGAGATCAATACCATTCAATAAATATGTAAGCTACTTCAGTCTGCCCCCAAAAGAACCAATACTTCAAAAAACCATAAAGAAAACCCCTGTCCATTTCCAAGTGACCCAAGTAGAAGAGACAGCAAGATGCTATGTGTGCTATTTTACCCCTCCCCTGGCCCTTCACTACTTAGAAAACTGCCTGCTCTCCACAGAGACTGAAATGGGCCTCATTTCTTTTGGGGGAGAACAAATTCACTGACACCTTTGGGCAATATCCCCTGTTTCTCAGGAACCCTGGCTCTATACCTAGTTCTGCTTCCAAAGCCTCTTCATGTAGTTCTGGGTAAGACTTGGGATCTGTTCCATTAAGATGGGCCATATGAACTAGGAGTTTCATCTTGCTGATTTCAGTGTGGGCCCTTGGACCCCACAGGAACTCATAGCGAGCAGGATCACTGTTAGGAATCTGCCGGTACATCAGGTACTCTTCCTGTACCAAATCCTCAGTGATGAATTTCCAGGCTTCCTCAAAATGAATACGCTCAGACTGAGCTAACATGTCCCATCTTTTCACTTTTTGGGTTAGGTCCTCCTCGCTGATACAGTTGCCCTCTATGAAGATTAGAGACAGGACTAATACAATGATGTCAATTTTGAGGATGATTCTTTCATCATCGCCATCTAGTATCCCACTGTATGTAAGAGCCAAAATGGGGACTAGCTCATACGTGTTGCCAGAGTGATTCACTTTCCTGATTTTAATGCCAAAGCCCAGATACACAGACTCACAGAGTTCCCAAAAGTGCAGAGGGAAGTTGTTACAGGGATCATGGGGCAGAACACGCAGCATTTCTTTCATGGTGACCTGGTCCTTCTTTTGATACTTGTGGAGCAGAAATGACACCAACTTACATAACTTGGCATTTGGGAGCACATTTTAAAGGATGTGAGAGAAGCTCATGTCCTGCGAGGAGCTTGAACCCTCACAGGGCTGACTCCTTTGACTGGAAGCTGTGAGGACAGCAAGAACTTGTTGAGGATCAGAAGCCTTCAAATCTCCAGTGCTGGAAAATACAGTGCTGAGCAGCTGAGCAATTCAGCTGCTCCAAGAATCCAGACCCAGATTTTGAAAAATCACAACTGAGAATTCTCCACTGCACAGTGCAAGGCCAGCAACAGAGGCAGGAATGGGTTATTTTCAGAGTCTCAACCTGGAATGTGGCCTTCTCTCTCACCCTCAGCCCATAAATTCTAATACTGTTTTTTTTTTTTTTTTTACTTAGTAGTTACACCTGACAAGGTCCTGTAGTACAGGGTGGTGTATACTTCTAGTTCTCTTCCTTAATCCTTGCTCTTCCGCAGTTTTCTCTGTAGGTTATTTCTACTGTGGTCATTCCCTGGTCCGAATTCCTTCCTGTGTCTCAACCCCAGTCCTTCAAGCATCAGCCTCTGATCAGTTCTCATTGATCTCACCGACCACCTCTCTGCCTTAACCCTGACTCACCCAGTCCCCAACAGAAGCTGGCAAGGGAGAGGGGGAATCAAGGCAGGATTTGGATGGGCAGTGACGAGAAGTGAGACCTGCAGGGCCTAAATTCATCCTGAAGAACCTTGTGCGCCCTCTCTGCTCAAGCCATTCCAGGTTCCCTCCCCCTGGCTAATAGGAGCCAGCGTCAGTAGGAATGTAGGGTTCCTACTGGTTTTCACCATGAGCTGTAAGTTAACAAAACAATAGAGAATACAACTGTAACAGGCTGCTCTGGCAAGGTCAAAGGATTTGTCCAACATGGGACTCATTAGCACTTCATTCATTATTAAACTGGAAAACACCTGTGGTTGGATTCCCTAAAGGGTCAGCTGCCAGATTGCAAGCTCAGAGCTGAATCATTATGCTCTTACAGTGATACCTGCTTAGGAATATAAAACATAAATTGCATAAGGGTTCTTTCAGAGAAAATAAAAGCTGTGTGAGTTCCAAAAGGTGATCTTGCCTTCTGTAGTTGAATAAAATTGCTGAAGAACTTTCTCATTACTCACCCATGCTCTAAATCTTCCTAATGCAGTGGGGGAGAGGGGAGGACAATAAAAATGGCACAGCTGAACCAAAATTACACTCAAGAGATCAACATCTCTGTAACCAGGGATACAAGTTGAGATATGCAGAGCAGGTTCTCCAAGCGCTACTGAGTCAGCCACAGGTAGAAAGATGCTCGTGGGAAGGTGATGTGAAGCCCAGTTTCTCAAACAATCCTGGTCCCAAATGGATCAGCTTCATGCTGCACAATTAAAACCTTGCCTTTCAGATGTAGAAACAACAAAACAGCACAAAGTGGAAGTCTACAGCCAAGTTTTGAGTCTGCACACTCATTCAACAAACATCCTTCCGAGACTTTGAGGCCCTAGTCACACAGGTAGAGCATCCCTTATCTGAAATGCCTGCACCAAGTGTTGCAAAGTTTGGATTTTTACAAATTTTGGAATATCTGCAAGTAGATATATGATAACTTAGGGGTGGGACCCAAGACTAAACAGGAAGTTCACCTGTGTTTCACCTTATACACAGAGCTGGAAGGTCGTTTTACACATTATTATCACACCTGCATTTTGACTGTGACCTGCCACATGAGGTCAGGTGTGGGGTTTTCCACTTGTGGCATCAAAACACAAAAGGTTTTGGACTTTCAGGTAAGGGATATCCAGCCTATGTGACATTTAGGTGGTGGTATCGCTGGTTGTGACCATTAGATGTTATATCACAAAATTCTTTGTTTTATACCTCCATTGATTCCTTCTGCAGCTTGCCATGGACCAGGCTTCACCTGCGCAGGCACGTACTGGCAGGCACGTGCTGGCGGGCACTGGCTCTGGTCTTAGTCTGTGTCAACCACAGGCAACACATGCTTGTCTGGAACATTGCCCTGGAACACTTTAGGCTGGCGAGAGGAAAGCCCACAAGGAAAGCTCACGAAATCTGACCCGAACTCCTCAAGGCTGTCAGGAGCACAGTGCACAAAGGTGTTGAGGTGCAGAATACTCGTTTCCCTGGGCGGAAACTCACCTCGAGAACGTGAATGCAACACAACTGGGGGCAACGTGGATCTTCCCTGTGGATCACATCACAGAGCCTTCCTTTCCTCCACGTTCTCCACCTCAGCTTGAACACTCGGAACAGCCCTTCCCGCTGTGTAGCTTACTTTGGAGCAAACAATAGCAAAACCTCATCAAAGGCCTTTTGCCTACTCCATGGGCAGAGACACTTGCTCCAGGTTCAATCTCCACAAATGAAAGCAAGAAGACAGCCAGACTGCCTGTGCACACTCCACAGAGAAGCGCATGGTGGGCTCACATCCACGCCAGCAATTTGTCTAGCGAGCATGCCAGGCAGAAAGCACATAATGGTCTGGGAAACCTGTTCGGTGAGATGTACTGAGCACATAGTTTCCAAATCTGAAGGCATTGGCATTTTAAATTCCGGTAAAATACTTAAAATATATATAAAATAGAGAGACTACTATCACAAAGACCTGTGCGCACACAAACCAGGTATATGCTTGCTACTATTTGCTTCAACATTTTTTAAAGTATAATATTTTATAGGGGGTTGTAGAAGTCCCTTTTATGTCCTTCCCTGAACATGTTTCATTCAACTTGCTGATTCTGAGGTAACCACTATTCAGAAACTGATATGGCTCCTTATCGTCCATGTTTCTATACTTTTATTACAGGTACAGCCATCCATAAGCTAACACAGAATTTCTGCAACATGATTTAAACACACACACATATATATTTATATATATTTACATATATATTTATATGTACATATTACATATCTATAGTGAATATATGTAACACCTATTTATAGTATACACAAACTAAATATAGTGCATATATACATATAGAGAGTGCATGTTCATGTAAACTTTAAACCAATCTTTTTCCTTTCTTTTTTTTACAATTAAAAAATATCAAAAGATATCCAAATGGACTGAATTTGTTTACTGTGTTGAGCCTGACTAGCCATAATCAGACGTTCAAAGGAATATAAACGTTTTACTGGAAAAGTCATTTTTTTATAACAATTTCTTACATTGTCTTTCATGTATAGATAAAATTGCTGATCACATAAAGTTCCATGAACATGAGAAGGAAATTTGTATTAGGCTCATTGTAGCAGTCAATCTAGTAAACTGGTCATTTAAATTTTTATCTGCAATTGGTTTTTGAGTACCGCAATCATTTACCTGACAGAATCAGGAGCTCGATGATCTCTGCATCTCCCAGAAATGCAGCCACATGAAGGGGAGTTCGCTTCTCGGAATCCTGAAACAAAAAGTCGAAAATAAGATGACAGTCAGTGGCAGCCTGGGGTGCCTTCGGCAGACTGGACAGACATGTCACCCACTCTGAACCGGATGCTTGTGGAATGAGCTTAAAGGCCGAACACCTGCAGAGCTGAGTTGAGGCTGCAATTTCCCCTTAGCACCCAGTCACACAACATCTGTGCACAACATCTGCCTACTGCTTGCTTCATGAAGCTCGGGTCAGTCAAAGATGGACCATGATGCACTGGCTGATACATTTCAATTCATTTCCAAACCTTCAGTATGGCTTAAAAAATTTTTTTTCAAATCCCTCTAACCTACCTTAGCAATATACTTCAAAGTTTCCAAAGATTTACCTACTTTCCGAGAGAACATGATGAAATTGGTCATGAGGGCGTTAGACATGAACGCAGTCATTTTCTTTCTGTCCTTATCAGCTGTTGTCTGGGCCAGGACCATGCTTGCAGTGCTTTTTGAATGTCTGTTCTGTGCCGGAACCAAATTCTGGGGTCAGAGGGTCAACCACAATAGGCCCAGTCCCTCCTCTCATGAAATTTACATTCCATCAAGATAAAATTAATTAAACAAAGCAAATTAAACAAAAAAGGCCATTACATAGTGGTAAAGGGAGCCGTCCATCAAGAAGATATAAAACTTATAAATATATACGCACCAAACACCAGTGCATAAAACAAACACTACTCAACATAAAGGGACACATAGGTCCCAACACAATGAGAGTGAGTCGGTTCAGTATTCCACTCACACCAATACATAGGCCATCCAGACCAAAAAAAGAAATGAACAGAGAAGTATCAGAGTTATACTACACCACAGATCAAATGGACTTAATAGATGTCTACAGAACATTCCTCCAACAACTACTAATTACACATTCTTCTTAGCAGTTCATGGGATGTTCTCCAAAACAGATCACATTTTAGACCATAAGGCAAGGATAACAAAAACCAAAAATTGAAGGGCCAGGGATGTACCTCAGTGGTGCTGTCGCCTGCCTTGCAAGTAAGTCCAAGGTCCTGAGTTCAGTCCCCAGTACAAAAAAAAAAATTGAAATAATTTCTTCCATCTTTTCAGATCACAATGGAATGAAACTAGAAATCAACAGCAAGAGAAACCACAGAAGTTATATAAACACAGAGGTATTAAATATTTCACTTTTGAACAATCAATGGGTCATTGAAGAAATCAGGGAGAAAATTTTAAAATTCCTAGAATCGAATGAAAATGGAAATACAATATACCAGAATCTGGGATACTGCAAAGATAGCTCTAAGAGGGAAGTTTATAGCTATGAATATCTACAGTTAAACAATCAGAGCAACCTCAGATAAATAACCTAATGATGCATTTCAAGGTCTTAGAGAAACAAAAGCAAATCAAAACCTAGCCCAACAGAAAGAAATAATAAAAATCAGACCTAAATTAATAGGTGGATACTAAAAGAAGAATACACAGGGTCAATGAAACAAAGAGTTAGCTCTCTTTTTTTTTTTGGTACCAGAGATCGAACTCAGGACCTTGCGCTTACAGGGCAGGCGGTGGCAGCACTGAACTAAATTCCCAGCCCAGTTCTTTAAAAAGATAAGCGAGACTGAGAAATCCTCCGCCAGATCAAAGGAAAAACAGAGAAACCCAAATCAAGACAGTTAGAGGTGAAAAAGGGAATGTTACAATAAACACTGCTGAAATCCAATGTATTATTACAGAATAATTTAAACATCTACATTCTAATAAATTGGAGAATCTGAACACCTGGAGCCTACCACAACTGAACCAAAAGGATATAAAAAACCTAAATAAATCCATAACAAACAATGAGATTGAAGCAGCAATAAAAAGCTTCCAGAGAAAAGCCCAGGAGTAGATGGGTTCACGGCTGAATTTTACCAGACCTTTAAAAAGAATTACAATCAATGCTCCTCAAACTGTTCCATGATATAAAGGGAAAGAAAAATTCCAAACTCATTCTACAAGGCCAGCAGCGCCCTGATACCAAAACTGGACAATGACAAAACAACAAAAAACTGTAGACCAGCATCTTTGATTAACATAGATGTAAAAATCCTTAATAAAATACCTGCTTATCTAATTCAACAACACAGTAAAAAGATCCATCATAACTGAGATGGCTTCATTCCAGGGATTCAAGGATGGTTCAACATATACAACTCAATAAACATAATAGAATATAAATATAATAGAGGCTATATATATATAGTAGTATATACATATAAACATAATAGAATTAAGTATAGAAATCATATGATCATATCAATTGACATAGAAAGACTTTGACAATTTATCCTTCTTTATAGCTGAGTAGTATTCTATTACATATAGATACCACATTGTCTATTTGTCTATTGATGGACATATAGGCTGTAGCTATTATGAATTGTGCTGCTCTAAACATGGGTCTGCATGGATCACTGTAATACGATGTCTTTAGCTCTTTTGGGAAGATACCTAGAAGGCGGACAGCTAGGTCAAATGGAATTTCTACTTTTATTTTTTTGAGGAATCTCCATACTGATTTCCATAATGGATGTACTAGTTTACACTCCCACTGGCAATGTAGAAGGGTTCCTTTTTCACTGCAGCCATGCCAGCATTTGTTATTGTTTGGTGATCACCATTCTCTCTGGTGTAAGATGAAATCAGTAAATTCAACATCCCTCATAATAAAAATCCATGAAGAAACTAAGTCCTGAAAGATCATTCCTCAGTACAGTGAAGGCCATAGACAACAAACCCACAGCCAACATCATTCTTAATAGGAGAAAACTGAAAGCATTTCCTCTAAAATCAGGAATGAAGCAAGGATATACATTTTCACCACTCCTAGTCAATATAATACTTGAAATTTTAGCTAGATCAATTAGGCAAGGGAAAGCAAGGGATACAAATAGGAAAAGAAGTCAAATTATCCTTGCTTGCAAATGATTTAATCCTGTATTAGAAGACCCGAAAGTCATACAGAGATAATGGGCTAGCTAAGAAAGAAATCAGGAAAGCACATTCACAATAGCTTCAAAAGAATAAAATAAACTAAAATATATAGGGGTCAATCTAACCCAGGAGGTGAAAGACCTCTACAGTGAAAATTTCAGAACACTGAAGAAAGAAACTAAAGAAGACACCAAAAGATGAAAAGACGTTCCTACTGATGGATTGGCAGAATTAGTATTGTTAAAATGGCCATATGATCAAAGTGACCTACAGATTCAATGCAATCCCATCAAAATACCAATGGCATTCCTTACAGAACTAGGAAAAGTAATCCTACAATCCATATAGAAACACAAAAGACCCAGAATAGTCAAAGCAATCCTAAGCAACAAGAGCAAGGCCAGAGGCATCACAATACCTAATTTCAAATTATACTACAAACCATAGTAACAAAAACAGCACGGTACTGGCTCAAACATATGCATATAGACCAATGGGGCAGAATAGAGGATACAAAAACAAATACACACAACTATAGCCACCTGATTTTGGACAAAGAAGCCAAAAATATACATTAGAGAAAGGACAGCCTCTTGGACAAATGGTGCTGGGAAAACTGGATATCCATATGTACAAGACTGAAATTACCTCCCTGTCTCTCGCTTTGTCTATAAATCAATTTAAAATAGATTGAAGACCTAGGTATGAAACCTGAGATCTTAAAACTGCCGGAAGAAAACACAGAGGAAACACTGTCATAAGCACCAGCAAAGACTTCCTGAACAGTATTGCAATAGCACAGCAATAATCAACGAATGGGACTATGTCAAATTAAAAATTTTCTGTGTAGCAAAGGAAACAACTAACAGAGTAAAGAGACAATCTAAAGAATGTTTGGGGGTTTTTTTGGTATCGGGGATCGAACTCAGAACCTTGAATTTGTGAGGCAGGCAGCAGCACCACTGAGCTAAATCCCCAGCCCTTGGAAGTTACTCTTCTGACAGAAGATTAGTATCTAGAATATATAAAGAACTCAAAAAACACCAAAGAATTAAATAGCCCAATCAATAAATGGGCAAATGAATTAACTGGACACTTTCAAAAGAAGAAGTACAAATGGCCAGGAAGTATATGAAAAAGTGTTCAATGTCTTTAGCCATCGGGAAATGCAAATCAAAACTACAATGAGATTCCATCTCACTCTACTCAGAATGGCCACCATCAAGAAGGCAGAAAACAGTAAGTCCTTGGGAAGATACGGGGTAAAAGGAACTAATTCTACATGGCTAGTGGGAATGGAAACTGGCACAGCCACTATGGAAATCAGTATGGATGTTCCTCAAAACACTAAAACCAGCACTACCATTTGATCCACTCCTCAGCACATACTTGAAGGAAATAAAGTCAGTGTACCACAAGGACACCTGCATGCCCATGCTTATTGGGTCACAATTCACAAAAGCCAAGATTTGGAACCAGATAAGGTGCCCATCAACAGATGAATGGATCAAGAAATGTGCTATATACACACAGTGGAGTATTATTCAGGCATAAAGAAAAACAACATTTTGTCATTTCCAGGAAAATGGATCTGGAGATCATTATGTTGAGTGAAATATGCCAGATTGAGAAAGACAAATATCCCAATCACTCCGATATATGGAATCTAAAAGCGATGACCTGAAAGTAGGAGGGAGACCATTATTAGTCAAGCAGAAGGGAATACGGAGGAGGGGACAGCTGGTTAAGGGCAGGTAACAGGAGGGACGCATATAATGGAAATATGACATACACATTGAATCTCCCCTCAAAACTGTGGAAGTGGGAGGGAAATCAGGGCAAAGAAGTGGAGGGGATGGAAATGATCAAAGTACATTACACACATGTCCAAATCTGCTAAAATGAAACCTACTATCTGTGTAACCAATATGCACTAAGACAAAAAGATCTGAAAAAATATTTACATTCCAGTGGGGAGGCTGACAATGTTCAGATGAATAAACAATGCATGAGATCATTTCCCATGGA